AATGTTCGGCATAGTACCAGGTATCAGAAATGGCCACTGCAAGACATTTTTAATGGTGGGGTGTACCTGCCAGACACCCCCTTATAGTCCGCCCCCGAAAATTGACCTAGATCAGCTTGTGAGTTAACTCGATAAAACCTACTGGAAAATGTTCGGCATAGTACCAGGTATCAGGAATGGCCACCACTAGACATTTTTGATGGTGGGGTGTACCTGCCAGACACCCCTTCATACCCCGCCCCGAAAATCGACCTAGGCTTGTGAGTTAACTTAATGTAACCTACTGGAAAATATTTGGCATAGTACCAGGTATCGTGATTGGCCACTGCCAGACATTTTTAGTGGTAGTGTGCACCCGCCAATTCGGGTCGCACTATTCGGGTTGTCAAATGTATAGTCATGTTTATTGTATTGATTTTGGAACGTTTTGTCCGGGACCTGCATGCATATAAAGTCGGCGTGCCTTTGACCAATGATGATCCGACCTTCATATTTCTTTTTATTTTAGATACACATCCGTTTTCAAAGCGGCGCTTTCTATTTACTACTAAACTCTACTTTTCTGTAATACAATTATTTAAAAACGTCCTTTCAAGTTCATTGCAAAATTCAAAATCATCTGGATAGGTTGCATTACATTCCCGTAAAGATGTGTATTAACGGACGTATTCCGGCAATAATGACATTTCGATCTGTTAGCTGGCCTTAGACTCGAATAAATTCTTTGTTCTTATGCAAATGTTTATTTTCTTTTACAGCGACCAAACATAGCTTAACCATACTCGTAACCGTAGAGCACAGGCTTAGGGAGGCTAATAAATTCAGTTGCAAAATCAAACATTATTTTTTTTAAATACATCTCACAGACATTGCGGTAAATCAAAATGAGAACAGCATAACATTGTCTGAATGAGAAGCAGAACTTGTAGTGGGGTTGAAAGCCAATTTTACAGGGACAGTTTATTATCTGGTGATGGGTGTTGTACACGCCATCAACTTTTTGGATTAATTTGTCCACAATCAAACAAATTGACAAATGGATAGATATATTTAATTGTTTCCTAGATTTTGATAGCCTTGCAGGTTGCAGGTTCGTATCACGACAGATATTTTTTTTTCATGTAACATTAAAAAGATTAAATTTTCATGTTTGACACAATTATAATCAAGTTCTTATTCGAGAAAGTATTTAATTAATCTATTTTTAATTTATAATTGAAGAAACTTGCGATATTAACTGCATGAACGGTGGAGTTTGTGTCACTTTGGATTATGGTATCGAGAACTGTCAGTGTATGACTGGTTTTGTTGGACCAACATGCAATATAGGTGAGCTTTTACAGTTAAGGCTTAAATGTGGATTACACATGCAGCTAAATATAATAGTTATCCTAGAGTGCAGAACATTGTTAACATTTTATACAACATGATTACCATGTAAAAAGATTAGACAGTATGCATTTTATTTAATTCAGTTAGACAGCAACATAATTATGTATGTTTTAGTGTATTTTATTGGTTAGCTTTTAATATTTAATGGCTATCTTTACGTTTAGTGTTGGAGCTCAGCAACAGTAATCATGATAAAAATTCTGTGAAAACGTATAGGTTTACCACCTGGGCTTATCCTCTATCATGCCATATGAATAAAGCAGGACTAAAGGTGCATTAACATGATTCACACCAAATCCGAATTTTCGGATCGGGACATCTGCTCAAGCGATCAATAAACGAATCAGTGTGTAAGAAACAGGGACGCTGCAGCTCAGCCCTTCGAAAACGCGGCCCGAATTTCTGTTCGGATCCGATGTGAATGCAGCTTAATATAAAACATTTACAATTAGTTAACAGCAAAAACACTCAGCAAACGTTAAGATAGATGTGAACATCAGTCATGAGCTTAAGTTTGCAAATGTGATATTACATATTTTTAGGCAGATATTCTAGTATTATTTAATGGCACAGTTTATTTAATTCTTTAATTAATTTTAACATATTAACATTATTGTATTCAAAGAAAAACGTATTAACTTATTAAATAAAAGCATGTTGTAAATCTTTCAGGTATTAGAAAATCGTCTTTAGTTTGAATGAGAATCTGTCAAATGCATTAAATAAGTTTTGAAGAAGCTAATAATGTAATATTATAATATTTAAAACTACAAATATAAGATGTTTTGGTAGTTACTATTAACATGTGAATATATGCAGTTGATACCTGTTCAACTTCATGCTAGTTGATCTAGAAACTAGATGATTATTTTGTATTATCCAAAATGTTCATACCAAATTCTGCTGATCTTTGGTAGAAATAGGGTTCCCGGAACTCATTATCAAATATTGCTGGTAGAGGAAAGTATAGAAGAATTTTTGTTGTATTGTGCATTTCTTTAGATCAAGCCCAATGTGATTTCGAAGATCGAAACCTTTGTTACTTTGTACAAGATGAATTGGATGACTTTGATTGGATAAGAACATCTGGATCAACACCCTCATTTCGTACTGGCCCTGATTTTGACCACACATATGGAACATTACAAGGTATCATAGTTGACATTTTTCATTCATAAAATCTAAAATGAAATTGTAAAATTATCAATGAAAATATTGCAGAAACTGCATAGTAAATAAAACAAGATAACACAATTATAAATAGATGTAAACAAAAATTCTCTGAAATCGAAACATTTATTTCATTTGCTTACAGGTTTCTACATATACATTGAAACTTCAAGTCCGAGAAACCTCAACGACATTGCTCGCCTTTGGACAATGTCATATCCTCCAACAAACGGCACATGTGTCCAGTGGTTCTACCACATGTACGGGACCACTGTGAACACAATGAGTGTGTACATAGTCAATACAGCAGATACTCTTGGTACACCTGTGTGGTCAATAAAAAACGAGCAAGGAAATGTTTGGCGACGTGGACAAATTTTTGTGGAAACAAGTAGTGCCTACCAGATAGTGTTTGAAGGAATTGCAGGAAGTAGTTATACAGGAGATATTGCTTTAAATCTGTCTCTTATACACATCTAGATGTGTATAAAAGTTGAGAGTTTTGAGCAGAAATCGGCTTTACAGGATCTAACCCCCAGACAATCTCTCGCATACTAATGACTGAAATGCTCAGACATTATAGAAGCAAAAGTTAGCCTACATACATATAATTAATAATAATGCACATTTTGTCAAAACAATACTACATTTACCTACTACCGGTGACCACCTTCTATTATGCCGGTGATAATATAAATACGAGAAATGGTAATTGAAGGATCTTGAGCTCTACTCTTGATGAGGACAAAAATGTAATTTAAAAAAATGTTTTTATACAATTAGTATTATTTGTGATGAGAGATGATATTCTATTAATACGAACATTATATTTAAATAGTTTATGTTTAATTTCTATTTGAAGAAACGTGTGATATTAGCTGCTTGAACGGCGGAGTCTGTTTCATCTCAGATTATGGATTCGAAAACTGTCAATGTACGCTTGGTTTTGTTGGACCAACATGCAATATAAGTAAGTTTTTACAATCATAAAAGGTGAATTAATTTAATTCTTCCATGGGAGTAGGTATTGAGCAGTTTCATCTAAAAAGATTTGTATAAAGAATAATTTATGTAGCCTATATCCATTGGCATGCCATGTTAAATTAAATATGCAGGACAAATAGGGAAAATATCAATAATTTAAAAATCGATTTACAGTAAACATTTAGAAAATATTTAATTAATATAGCAAGCATGACATTTTTTTACATGCTTTTAGGGTGAAAATTAAAATGAAAATTCCTGTGAAAGTACACTACATTATTTACTCTATGTTAGTTATTTAAACATCTTAATTATATACCTTAAACAGGATGAAAGTTAAGTTATTTTCAATTCAGGATGTTTTGAATAATACGCCAATAAGCACTAGAGGTTAGCGTCACGGCGTGACCGTCACTGCGTGACATGTGAAAATCACCATTTTATAGCATTTATGAATTATAAGTATATAAACAGAAAATTGCTCAAACATGAGCAATATGGTAAAATAAATACAATATTATCTGAATGAATATTCGGAAACAATTTAAAACCTTTACATAAGAAGCCAGGTATCAAGTCAATCAGATTAAGACGTCATTGATTTGAATGCAAATCATCTGATAATGTAAAGTAATTAAATGTATTGTCTTAAAACACTCTACACAATTACTTAAATGCATGATGCTTCATGATCCAAAACCAATAATGTTTATTTATCACACAATTGAAAGAATAGCATAGGAAAATACCCTTATAGAGGCTAAATGTCACACCGTGACATGACAAACTTATAAGCATTTTTCTCTTGGCTTATTGAAGTTCTTCATTAAAATGAACATGATTTTAAATTTCGTGTGAATGTCCTTCAAAATTTAGCAGAGGATTTTAAAAATTCAGTCACTAGTATTTAAATAAACTGAAAAAAGTCACTTTTTTGTCACAGCGTGACATAGAAAAACTTAGGTTTTTGCTGGATCAATGGTCCATAAAGTAAAAAAGGTTTACAAAAAATTATTTTTCCTGGTAAACAGCAATATGCGGATTACTAAAATCTGCATTTAACTGGAAAAAAAATTTGGGAAGGCCTCAATATCTTAATAATAATTTTTTTAAATGTTGTTCTTACGCTGTGACGCATAAACAGCGTGACAAAACAGAAGTATTTTTTCCTCTGTTAATTAAAGTTCTTAAGTAAAATGAACATGATTTCTTAGTAGGTATTAATGTTCTTCAGATCTTAGCCATACATTTTAAAATTTCATCTAGTGGTATTTGAAATAACCTAAAAACAATCACTTTTTACATCACAGTATGACATCGAGAAACATGAGAGAGCAGCTTAGCTTAGTCGGGATCGGCTTATCTGGTGGTAGCCACTGTGTGTGCGCTGAACCGTCGAGATCTCTAGGTCCTCGGTTCAATTCCCATCGCTGCCTCTCCTTGTGTTTTTCAGCTAGAGGGCTGAAATACAAGTTACAATAGCGCACCGTCTTTCGGATGAGACGTTCAAACCGTTGGTCCCGTGTGCATCTATGGCCCATGTGCACGTTAAAGAACGCAGTACACTGAAAATTCCGTGAAAACGCATAGGTTTAACACCTGTTAAATATCCTCTATCATGCCATATAAATAAAGCAGGACTAAAGGTGCATTAAGACGATTCACACCAAATTCGAATTTTCGGATCGGGACATCTGCCGAAGCGATCAATAAACGAATCAGTGTGTAAGAAACAGGGACGCTGCAGCTCAGCCCTTCGAAAACACGGCCGAATTTCTGTTCAGATTCGATGTGAAGGCAGCTTTATAGGAAGATTACTAAACATTTACACAAAAAATAGTTAACAGCAAAAACACTCAGCAAACGTTATGATAGATGTAAACATCAGTCATGAGTTTAAGTTTGCATATTTTGTCCTTATGTTATTAATGATATTAAGACAAAGAAAATAAGATAAGGACAACATTAAAAAAGAGACTATTATTTAATAATTATTTTAAATTTAAGCAGATATTCTAGTATTATTTAATGACACAGTTTATTAAATTCCTTAATAAATTTTAACAACTTTGGCTAGGTACTGTAAAATTGGGGTCAAATATAAGTTATAACATATTAACATTATTGTATTAAAAGAAAAACGTATTAATTTATTAACTAAAATCATTTGAAGTTGTAAATCTTTCAGGTATTAGAAAGTCGTCTTTAGTTTGAATGAGAATCTTTCAAATGCAGTAAATCAGTTTTAAAGAAGCTAATAATGTAATATTATATTTAAAACTTCAACCATAAGATGTTTTGGTAGTTACTATTAACATGTGAATATGCAGTTGATAGCTGTTTAACTTCATGCTAGTAGATTTAGAAACTAGATGATTATTTTGTATTATCCAAAATGTTCATACCAAATTCAGTTTATCTTTGGTAGGAATAGAGAACTCATTATCAAATATTGCTGGTAGAGGAAAGTATAGAAGAATTATAGTTGCATTGTGTATTTTTTTAGATCAAGCCCAATGTGATTTCGAAGATCAATACCTTTGTTACTTTGTACAAGATGAATCGGATGACTTTGATTGGATAAGAACATCTGGATCAACACCCTCATCTCGTACTGGCCCTGAGTATGACCACACATATGGAACATTACAAGGTAATACAACATTGACATTTTTCATTCATTAAATCTAAAATAAAATTGTAACATTATCAATGAAAATATTGCAGAAACTGCATAGTAAATAAAACAAGATAACACAATTATAAATAGATGTAAAAGAAAATTCTATAAAATGGAAACGTTTATTTCATTTGATTACAGGTTTCTACATATACATTGAAACAAGTCCGAGAAACCTCAACGACATCGCTCGCCTTTGGACAGTGACATATCCTGCAACAAACGGCAGATGCGTCCAGTGGTTCTACCACATGTACGGGGCCACTGTGAACACATTGAGTGTGTACATAGTCAATACAGCAGATACTCTTGGTACACCTGTGTGGTCAATAAGAAACGAGCAAGGAAATGTTTGGCGACGTGGACAAATTTTTGTGGAAACAAGTAGTGCCTACCAGATAGTGTTTGAAGGAATTGCAGGAAGTAGTTATACAGGAGATATTGCTTTAGATGACGTCAAGATCACCGATGGAGCATGTGTGCGAAATGGTATTATACAGGTTCAGCTTCTTACACTTCACAGCCATAAACAATGTTATAATCCCTGTTGTCACCTTATATATTTACCAAACGTTACCATCCTAGGTCCGATGCAACCTGTCATATTTCCATCTAGCCCTTCCATAGATCTATTACCACTTAGATAGCTGCATCCGACCTGTAACCTTATCATTATATATTTTTGCAATAATTGTTCTCCACGTGCAATCAAATTGACGATTGAATCATTAGATTTTGAAGAAATGAATCGTGGTTTAAAATAACACACAACATGAATAGGCATAGTTGTTATTATTTAATATTTATCTTTTAGGTGGGTTATCGTTATTTTGTTAAGTATACTCTCTATTATGCCGGTGATGATATACTTACAAGTTGAGAGTTTTGAGCAGAAATCGGCTTTACAGGATCTAACCCCCAGACAATCTCTCGCATACTAATGACTGAAATGCTCAGACATTATAGAAGCAAAAGTTAGCCTACATACATATAATTAATAACATTTTGTCAAAACAATACTACATTTACCTACTACCGGTGACCACCTTCTATTATGCCGGTGATAATATAAATACGAGGAATGGTAATTGAAGGATCTTGAGCTCTACTCTTGATGAGGACAAAAATGTAATTAAAAAAAATGTTTTTATACAATTAGTATTATTTGTGATGAGAGATGATATTCTATTAATACGAACATTATATTTAAATAGTTTATGTTTAATTTCTATTTGAAGAAACGTGTGATATTAGCTGCTTGAACGGCGGAGTCTGTTTCATCTCAGATTATGGATTCGAAAACTGTCAATGTACGCTTGGTTTTGTTGGACCAACATGCAATATAAGTAAGTTTTTACAATCATAAAAGGTGAATTAATTTAATTCTTCCATGGGAGTAGGTATTGAGCAGTTTCATCTAAAAAGATTTGTATAAAGAATAATTTATGTAGCCTATATCCACTGGCATGCCATGTTAAATTAAATATGCAGGACAAATAGGGAAAATATCAATAATTTAAAAATCGATTTACAGTAAACATTTAGAAAACATTTAATTAATATAGCAAGCATGACATTTTTTTACATGCTTTTAGGGTGAAAATTAAAATGAAAATTCCTGTGAAAGTACACTACATTATTTACTCTATGTTAGTTATTTAAACATCTTAATTATAAACCTTAAACAGGATGAAAGTTAAGTTATTTTCAATTCAGGATCTTTTGAATAATATGCCTAAAAAGCACTAGAGGTTAGCGTCACGGCGTGACCGTCACTGCGTGACATGTGAAAATCACCATTTTATAGCATTTATGAATTATAAGTATATAAACAGAAAATTGCTCAAACATGAGCAATATGGTAAAATAAATACAATATTATCTGAATAAATATTCGGAAACAATTTAAACCCTTTACATAAGAAGCCAGGTATCAAGTCAATCAGATTAAGACGTCATTGATTTGAATGCAAATCGTCTGATAATGTAAAGTAATTAAATGAATGTCTTAAAACACTCTACACAATTACTTAAATGCATGATGCTTCATGATCCAAAACCAATAATGTTTATTTATCACACAATTGAAAGAATAGCATAGAAAAATACCCTTATAGAGGCTAAATGTCACACCGTGACATGACAAACTTATAAGAATTTTTCTCTTGGCTTATTGATGTTCTTCATTAAAATGAACATGATTTTAAATTTCGTGTGAATGTCCTTCACAATTTAGCAGAGGATTTTAAAAATTCAGTCACTAGTATTAAATAAACTGAAAAAAGTCACTTTTTTTGTCACAGAGTGACATAGAAAAACTTAGGTTTTTGCTGGATCAATGGTCCATAAAGTAAAAAAGGTTTACAAAAAATTATTTTTCCTGGTAAACAACAATATGCGGATTACTAAAATCTGCATTTAACTTGAAAAAAAATTTGGGAAGGCCTCAATATCTTAATAATAATTTTTTTAAATGTTGTTGTTACGCTGTGACGCATAAACAGCGTGACAAAACAGAAGTATTTGTTTCCTCTGTTAATTAAAGTTCTTAAGTAAAATGAACATGATATCTTATGTATTAATGTTCTTCAGATCTTAGCCATACATTTTAAAATTTCATCTAGTGGTATTTGAAATAACCTAGAAACAATCACTTTTTACATCACAGCATGACATCGAGAAACATGAGAGAGCAGCTTAGCTTAGTCGAGATCGGCTTATCTGGTGGTAGCCACTGTGTGTGCGCTGAACCGTAGATATCTCTAGGTCCTCGGTTCAATTCCCATCGCTGCCTCTCCTTGTGTTTTTTAGCTAGAGGGCTGAAATACAAGTTACAATAGCGCACCGTCTTTCGGATGAGACGTTCAAACCGTTGGTCCCGTGTGCATCAATGGCCCATGTGCACGTTAAAGAACGCAGTACACTCTTCGGAAAAGAGTATTGGATTTTCTCCTGGTGTATTGTCCAATCACCACCAGAAGGACCCCACTGGAAATAAGTCTTCTTTTAGACTTTCGTGGGCTATCCTTGGTGTTTACACAGAATAAATCCAATCCAAAGTAGATATTATGAATTCAATGGGCCGTGAAATATATGTTTTTTACAAAAATTTAACTTACAATTCAATTCACTTTATTTGATATTCACCTTAAATAAAAGGGTATGGTCAAAAACCAGGCACAATGCAAACAATGAAAATAAAAAAGGGAAAAAGAAAACCAATGTAAAAAGTTAATAACAAGAAAACAGGCGATGGGGACAGAACCAAATAATTTGATCCCCGTCTTTAGGTCGAAGCCTCAAGAACAGTAAGCCTTTTAAATGCAGATGTAAAAAAAATCAATAACAGGTGTGATGACATCATATTCATCAGAAGCCATAATAAAAAGAATTTTTTCTACACTTGACATATGTTCGGAGTTTTCATAATAGGCCTATTCAAGTTCGGTGAATAGCTTGTTTCGTACATCATGGTAAATTGGGCAGCAAATTATAAAATAAAATTCATCTTTAGACTTCATCATTTTTACAAAGGGTACAAAGTCTGTTTCCAGCTTTAGTTTTAGAAATTTATGTTTTATAAAGGAGGGAAATATCCGTGGGAAATTGTTCTAGAGGGAAAACCTGTCTCTTATACACATCTAGATGTGTATAAGAGACAGCATCTCAGATTCCACTCTGATTTTCTGAAACAAAATGTCATCTGCATATATGAGACTGTTCAGTGGTTTTCCATTAACATTTACAGCGTTACATGAATGATCAAAAATGTAAGTTAAATCAGAAAGGAACATATTGAAGAAAAGGGGGCTGAGGAGACAATCTCATTTAACCACAACAGTAAAATCAAAAGGCTTTGTTACCATTCAGTTTAATTTAAGACGAATTAAAACCTTTGAATAAATAAACCAAGCAATTAACCACGAACCCCGATTCTATAATGTTTGAACATTAATCCATTTCTCCACACAGTATTGAAAGCTGCCGAAAAATGAATAAAACAAACAAGGATATGAGTTTTTACTAATGCGGTTACGGTATATATTTATCGAGAGTTTTTAAGAACTAAAATGTGGTCGCTTGTTCTCGCTCCTTTTTTTTTTTTTTTTAATTTGATTTTTTAGGAATTGATTGCTTTTTATCGGCTAGGCGGCAGTAAGTCTGTTGAGAAGTATGATGCAAAAAAGCTTACCATGCTGTTACTATCCCATTTACCAGCAGACCCTTCAAAAGGTATTTTGACGGGTTGGCGAACCAGGTTTTGCCAGAGTCTTTTTCTCTACTTAAGATTCATTATCACAGCAGGCATTGCTAATTATCAGTAAATTAACAGTATAGTATTTAAAAACCAGGCTGAAAATTCATAAATGTTTTGCATTTTTATTACCTTAGTTGTAATTTAAAATAAAAATCATAATGGATATGTTTTTGAATTTAAAAAAATCAATAACTTATGTTAGAAGTTACAAAATAATCTTTGATTTAATTGTGCTAGTATTTCTATAAAATATTCACATTTCATTAGCTTCCCTGTCAATCTTGTTACAAAATCCCCTGAAGCAGTAATTAATAGAGATAAGAAGTGATCAGCAAAACCTTGTTCAACAATTGCAATTTTAGAATGGGGAAGTTTCCTCGAGAAAAATTACTTCCAACTGCAATCCTCATGTGCATTTGATAATAAGTTGTCGTTTGAACTTGATTTTATCATTTCATTTTTTATACCGTCAATTCCGGCAGATTTACCATTATTTAACTTTCTTGCAGCACCCATAACTTTCCATTGAGCAAATTCCTGATTATGTTTGCCAAAGTTAGGTTGATTATCTTTGGGAGAGTTAAACTTGTTAATAAAATGTTCAAATTGTTGATTTTTATGAGGTGTGTGTATATTCATTATGTTGGAAAAGTGCTCTAACCAAACTTTGAGATTTTGTGATTCGTGTTTTTTTTTGTTTTGTTTTTTTTTTTTTTTTGCAGCAGTGATAGATAGTCTAAGACACCTGACGATAATATTAAGTAGAATAATTGTTATTTAAGGAGCACTTATTGTTTTATTCGTTTTTGTTTTATTCCAGAAACTATAAAAACCAATATAGAAGCTAGCTTAAGTTCAGACACACGTATGTCATAGCCGGAAATAATAATACTCGTTTCAAACACTTAATATTGTCTCTAAATCTATAATCATTTTATTATGTCAGAGCACCACCAATATTTTTAACAAGATTTAAACAATATACCAATAGGCATCTTGTTAAATTAAAACTCATAAGCCTTCTGCAGATTGTTTTTTTTTTTCTTGTTTTTTTTTTAAATTACCTATACGATTACTTATTCGTCTTTCTAAATGGACAAAATATTGATGTTATAACTAAGCACTATATTAAGAAAAAAATTATCAATGACAAAATCAAAAGTGTAAACAGAAAGTCCACTAATATATTGTTTGCAACACATTTCTCAAGCAAATGTTCTTTCTTTAGCGACCTTTAATGTGCTTGGCTTAACCAAACCGTCTAAAATAGAACAGCTGGATGTTGACTGCAATGTAGATGTAATCGCGTTACAAGAAACAATAAATGTAAACATAACGAAGATATTAAGTTAACATTAGGAAACAATTTTTTTCGAATAAAACAAAAAAAAGTAGCTTTATTATTTAAGAAAAAAATAACAATATAATATCATCAGCTGGAAGCAAATTGCTAACAATAGTGCCTATCTTGATGTTGAACTAAAAAGAAAGAAAACACAAAGGCTGCATAATAAACTTTTGTAGTCTAACAAATTCTGTAACAGTTAAAATTACATGAGCATTTTATTAACATTAACATGTAATTTACAACAACGTCAGAACTTATTTATACTTGGTAGTTTTAATGCGAAAATTAATAAACATTGCGTTTCGAAAATGACAATGGACTTTTTTTACAGTAATATTGGTTAGTATGCACATTGTAAAAATATAAACAATAACAGAAACAAATTACTCAGATTTATCGTTGACCATAAACTTTATATATGAAAAGCAGCTTTCAAATACAGTACAAGGCACATTCACAACGCATATTTATCGTAAAGATCAGATAAAAGGAAAAACACATCTTACCAGTTTATAACCAGATTGTTAATACTTCAGAGCGCATAGGGGAACTTTTACACACAGTGATCAAAATTGGCATGTTATAGATTTGTATACGATGAAATATATAGAACTATTAATTAACAGTTATTGACAAAGATGTATTATTATTACCATTATTGCTATTATTATTATTATTATTATTATTATTATTATTATTATTACAAAATTGAAAGAAACTGCAACTTATATTGTAAAACTTAAATAAATTTAGGTGTCGAGTTGAAGAAGTTGAAGTTGAAGAATAATGTAAGATATTGTTTAAAATATCAAATCAAAGATGTTGTGTAGTTATTTTAACATAGAACTAATTTTGAGGGCCAGTTCCACTCCATAAAAGTGACATTTGTGAAGTACATGGATTTTTTAAATCAACTGAAAATTTCATACCTAATTCATTAGATATAAGATAGGAATAAGATGAAACATATTGCCAAAAATGCTGGTAATGGAAAATGTAGAATATTTTCAACTATTAAAGTTATTACTTGCGTTATTCCAACCAATGTGACTACTGCAGTTAATTTAATTTTTTCTTGTATAATTAGCAACGCAAACCCAATGTGATTTCGAAGATCCATACATATGTTACTTTGTACAAGATAAAACAGGTGATTTTGATTGGATAAGAACGTCTGGATCAACACCAACATCAGGTACTGGTCCTAGGTATGACCACACTTACGGAACATTACAAGGTATTAAAAAGCTGACATGAATTTATATTTCCTAAATTACATTGTATATTTCTAATGAAAATATCTAAAACTACAAACAAAATAAATAAAATAAACATCAAATAGATCTATAAAAAAATCTCTATTACACCGGAACATTTATTTTCTCAATTTTGCTTACAGGTTCCTACATGTACATCGAAACTTCATATCCGCGATACAACAACGAAACCGCTCGTCTTTGGACATCGCCATATCCTGCAACCAACGGTACATGCGTCAAGTGGTTCTACCACATGTACGGGGTCACAGTGAACACACTGAATGTATACATAGTCAATACAACAGGTACTGTTGGTGCACCTGCGTGGACAAATAGAAACAACCAAGAAAACCTTTGGCGACTTGGAAAAATATCAGTTGAAACAATGAGTGCCTTCCAGATAGTGTTTGAAGGAATTGTAGGAAGGAGTGTGATACAGGTGATATTGCTTTAGATGACTTTAGGATCATTGATGGAGCATGTTTGAGAAACGGTAAAATACACCTTCATCATTTCACAATTCACTACACAATAAAAAGGTTATTATCCCACCCATTTGTATCTGACCTTTACCACTTACGGCATTCACCGATCGGCATTTTGCCACCCAGCTTTTTGACAATTGTTGTGAACTCAGGATTTTACCAGACCTCGCATTACCATCCAAGGTCCGATGTCATAATGAAGGGAAAAGAATGCAAGATCCACGAAATTACCAACACAGACCCAACTTAACTTGGCCGCAATTTACTGTATATTTAAGAAATACTGTATCACCAAAAGAAATTTGAATGCAAAGCCAAAATTAAAGTGTTTTATTTCGTTGCCTTTGCTATTGATTTTTAATTTACAATAATAAAAAACAGCAATAATAAAAATAATATTAATAAAAAAGGCAAATTTAAAAATTAATGATAATAACGATAATGAACAATAATAACTTAATAATGAAAATACTGATTTTTAGTCCATAGTCCATTACATGGTATTCGTGTCAAAGGCGCCTTTGTTCTTTACCGCTGATTCGATGTTCTTTTTTTGTTTCGTGTGTGAATGTTGCTTTACTTTGTATTTTTTGTCAGTTGTCCTCACACTGAGGAAGAACACAGGAGTGTTTGAAATATTTGTGATTTAATAAATTATATTGCTTCTAGTATGTTTACAACTC